GGCAGTGAAGGCCAGGAAGGCCTGGCGCAAAATGGTTCATGGGGACACAATGAGTCGGACACGACTTAACGACTAAACAAATCTGATTCTTGTTTGAATGCTGCCTCTGGAAATTGTAGGAGTGTGTTTTAGGATTATTCTTTTCTTTTTTAATCAAATGAGAACCTTGTAGATTCTGTGCTTTCAGGTATTGCCGGCAGGTTTTGAATGAGACAGTGAGGACAGCAAAACTAACACCAATTGCTGCACGGCTTCAGGAGCTGGAAGGCAGAGTTGATCAACATCTCATTCCCAAGGAGGTAGGATTGGAAGCTGATACTCTGATCTTCAGTTTCACTTAAACTTCCATTTTAATTGGGAGACTTCCTAGAAGGAGAATTATATACAAAGACAGAAAGTTGTTTTGTTTGTTAAGCACATTGGTGGACTTGTAAACCAGAACACTGATTTCTTTTTTCAATGAGCAGAGAACATTGATTGATTGATTGATTGATTGGATTGATAAGGCTGCCCAACTCAAGCAATGTGACTCCAGATGGTTTACAGCAAAAAACAAATAATAAACCCGCCAAATAACCACATAACATTAAAAAAACTACCCATTATATAAAATGGCAACCAAACACAATAGTTAAACAACCAAAAGGGAACTCTACTCAACTGGACTCAAATGCCTTTTTGGTTTAATAAACCATGATATGACTGAGACTTTTGTCTATTCATTCAGATGCTTTGCTCTTTTTTGTGTGCGTGAACCTAATTAAACCAGGAAATGTCTAATTAAGCAAAGTTTTCCTTTTCATCTAAGTAGAGAACCAGCAACATTCTTCATTGGGAATGACTGGATCATGATTTGGCTACTTATGCAGATGAAGGATTCATTCACAATTCTGTTTGTTAAACTAATTATTCAGAACAACTTAGTATGACTGCTATCAGTAGTAGCAGCACTTATGGTGCTCTGTGCTGAGTTATAGCACAGGACCATGAGGTAACACAGCTGTACCATTAGAGTGAGGAGGGATGTGTGTTTTAGCTGCTTGTAAGAGGACTTGGGGGAGGTGATTAGGGAATAAAATAAATGCAAGAATCTTACTGAGGATTGCTGCAATCATTTTATTCATCTAGAAAAAAACTAAAAATTGGCAGTGGTGACCAGGTTGCTCTGGGGGCCATAGGATGGGAAAGCCACATGCAGCCTAAAGTTTTCCATCCCTGTTATGAATATATAGAGAGAGAGACAGTGCATACATATTGCTGTTATTTTGTGTTCTAAATTGTAGGGAATTTTGATCAATAAAATATAAATAGTCCATCCTTACTTGTGCCATTACCAACAAAAAATTACCATTGTAATTGACCCATTTAATAGCCATATTTACTTGGGCATCAATTCCAGTAATCTTCATCATCCTAATAAACGCGATTATGATTTTATCCTTAAATTCCTTAAACTGAGATTATCAAATATCTTCACTTCTGGAAAAGTAGTGAAAGGAACTGATTTCAAACACAAAGCTAGAAAAAGCCCTGGAGCTTCTATCACTTCTATCACTTTCCTCTTGTAAAATACAGTGATTGCTGTAGATGATTACACACATACTCATTTGGAGCCATTATGTCCATCTTGCCTTGAAAAGCTGTCATTGTGATACTGCTTTATGCAAAGGAAATTTCTCTTAGAGGTTTCCTGGTACTTGGCTGCTGTCATCTCTTTCCCTCCCCGATCTCTTCTTTTCTTGCAGATTGCATTAGTTTTGCAATTAAGGATCTAAAAGAATTGAAGTTAAAGCAAATAAATGTATCTCTGTCATGCATTTATACAGCTATTAACGCATATAATGGACTACTAGTCTATATAGTATAATGTGATAATGCTGTGTCATGTCAATGGACTAAAATGATGCTTTTTAAATTCTCTTACAGACTCTTGTGCTATACGCGCTTGGTGTGGTCTTGCAGGACAGCTCACTCTGGCCGTTGCCCTATAAGTATGGAACATAGAAAACTTAGTTCATAACGTTTCTTAATGTGAATTTGCTTTTTCCCTGCTACATTCTGTCTCTTGGTACTAAATGAATGGTTGAGCTATATCATGACACATGGTTTCTGGGCTCTTCCGTTTAAGATGTAGATGGAGAATTGCATGTTTGATATGAAAGTAACAACAAAGTGCATGTAAAAAAAACCAAAAAACAGCAGATGAAAGAGCTGAATTATCCAGATACCTTTTTTTTTTAGAGGCAGATTTTAGGAAGTTCATGCTTTTATGTGGCAAATTCAGTTTGTCAGTTTTAGAAAATAAATGTTGCTGTTGCAGTTTACAAGGACCGAGAACATCAATCAAAGGCTTTACATCATTATTTCCAAATATGGCCATAGAAGAATAATTTTGGCCTCAAAATTTGAATTCCACAGAGTAGAAGGAAACATTGCAGTGCTTCCAAATGGCAACCTTTAATGTAATCCAGCCATGTAGAGGCAGGATTGTGGAGCTGAAATGAAGTGGGACATTAATTCTGAATCCAAGGGGAAAATGCCATAGATTTGATTGAAATAAAATTAATCAAACAGCCAAATAAATAAATAAATCTGGCTCTAGAAACTGAAACATTACGATTGGAAAAAAGAAATAGAAAAGCAAAAGAGTCATTTCCCAAAGGGATTGTAGCTGCTGTTATTTCCAGCAACAGGACATACTTATAACATCTTTTAATGGCAAATGTTAGTTCAAGGAAAAGAAATGACCCCACATCCTTTCCTCTGGAATGGAAAAGTAGAGAAGGCTGAGCCTCCTTAGGGTAGGTTGGGTGTCATATGTTGGGGTTCCATTAAAAATCAATTATTTTGTTTGTAGTATGATGAGTTGCAACCACAGGACTGCAGTTAGGTCTAAGTATCCTGGGTTTAATCTCTGCAAATAATCCTGGATTTAGCCTCTGCAGCTAATGCTGGATATTGCAACATTTCTCATATTCCATGGTCCACTAGGTCATTGCATGCAGTTGTAGAGTACAGGGTCTCCTCTGACTCCAGGAGAGTTATTTCTTGTCACGTGTGTGTCTATGTGCATATCATTAAGCTTTTGGACACTGCTTGTGCAAATGTATTCTTCACTACATATCAAATTCATTTTATCTCTGGGTTAGGTGGTGAACTGAACCCAAAGATCACATCTGTTTCCTTCTATCATGTTGGCAACTATGAAGAAGTTTAGAGAGGTGGCTTCTCATTTCAAGATTCTTTCCCAGTCCTGTCATTTACTGAAGCAAATGGGATGCTTGAGAAGAAGACAGATGATGACAAGCATAGAGGAAACCATAGCAGGGGAGGAGAGCTCTCCACTGCCTGGGGGTGTGGGAAGTAGGATTTGGGAAGAGAGGTCTGACTGAAAAAAAAAAAAAAAAGCTGTATCAGCATCAGCCAGGTATCGCCACACATACAATCCAACTTTTTTTTAACTCTGCTAATTAAAATAAATTATTAAGGGATACATAAAACAAAACAGCTATTTTCAGAATTTGCTACTTCCCTGCAGAATATAGTTGGCCTTTTAAGGGAACATGATGAGGTACAGTCAACAGACAGCTGAAGGCTTGAACAATAGAAGATTTATTGCCCGATGAAATATCAAGTTAATGAAAAACACAAATGTGCTGTAGTACAGATTTTAATAAATATTGCGGGGTGGGGGGGAGAGTTGTGTAAAAAGAAATAACCCGGCATCATTCTGATTGCCTTCTCCTGTTAGTTTAGGCTAGGCTGGATAATTGCTTGTTCACCCCTCCTCCCCAACCTGATGGTGAAACATGCTTCTCTTTCTAATGAATCATCAGCTGCTGAGCACACATTTGCTTGCAGGCCAGCTGGGTTGAGAAAAATGGAGGAGGCCTGGTGCAAGCAGCAGAGAAAGAAAGGGAAAAGAGAGAGCAGCTCTGTCTCTCACCAAATGGTGCCAAATCAGAAAACATACATTAGGTGGATTCAGGCGGCCTCGTGTATTCTCTGCTGAAGTGCTTCTTAATTGTCGATTCACATTTCTTGTAGCTCATTTTAAGGAGTGAGTGGCTTTTGATCTTTTTTCTTTTCTTTTCTTTTTGGTAGATTTGATCCAGATAGATTCAGTGATGAAGCTGCTATAAAAAACTTCTCTCTCCTTGGTTTTTCAGGAAGTCAGGAATGCCCTGAACTGAGGTGAGAGAAAATTAATAACACTTGGGTATATACTATTTAAACAAAGGGGAGGGGGATGTGCTATAAATAGAGGGGAGGGGAAGCAGTGCTCTCTTTTCTTCCTCTTGCAGCTATCTGAGATCTGCAAAAAGGCTCTTTTGATGCACTTGCTAAATCCTGTAGGAAAGAATCCAGAGGTTGCTGTGGAAGGAGGAAAATCTCCTAAATTGGGCAAAGACATCCATTCCTTCTTCCCTGGCCTCTCATTCCACATTGTCCAAAGGGTGGCTGATCTATCAGAGAGACTTTTTGGAAGGATTCAGATGCCTGCAGTAGAACAAACAAAGAAGGGATTCCTTCCATGGATCTCTTTTGATTCCTTTAGCTAGGAATTCAAATTATTTGGCTGACCTTTTTTTCATGGCTAGGTTTGCCTATACGGTTGCTACGGTTCTGCTGAGCGTGATTGTGAGGAAACTCCACCTGCAGCCTGTGGAAGGCCAAGTCATCGACACAAAGTATGAGCTGGTCACATCACCCAAGGAAGAAGCATGGATAACTATATCCAGGAGGAACAAAGGAGAGGAGTGAAATTGTTTGGGGGGAAGAGCCCTTTTCGCACTGCTCACCACCTTCCAATGTTTCCTTCGAATCACTGTTAGGCATTCTCGGCCTAAAATATCTCCCTTCCTTCATCATAATTTTCTCGGATCCTATAAACAAATCTGTAGGATTGATGGGAGAACCAGACCTTGTGGGGCAGAGTGATCCCCTTGCCCCTCACTTCCAGCAGCCAGAGCAGCAAGAAGTCATATATTCTGATCTAGAAGCCCTCAACCATCAAAACCAGGTGTAAGCAGTCACACTGTGGAAAGGCGCTCTGCATATGGACATAGGAACTTTTAAAAAACCTATTTTTAAATGACGTATCGCTCAAGATTTGAGTGATAGGAGAGAAAAACCTAAGGGTATGAGCAGTACCTAGTCTGCCCTTCCTCTAAATTAAGGCCCAGTATGAGTAATGGGTGCATGCAATTCAATAAAAATGGCAGCAGCACACTTCAAATAAGAAACATTCCTGTGTCAGCTGATTATTATTTCTCCTTCCTTTCTATCAGGGCTTGGGTGGAAATGTTAGTCATAACCACGACCCAGTACAAATAATGGGAACAGTTTATTGGCAGTAACACAAGTTGCATTGCTTTTAATGGGATGTAGTCAGAGCTAATTCTGAGGCCAGGGTGATATTTGGGGTGAGGAAGGGGGAGAAAATTGGCACTGGTTGTCCTGGACTCTTAGTAAAGAGTAATGCTCCTCTCTTTTTTTAAATCTAAGCTTCCTTGTCTTGAGAGATGGGAAAGATGGTGTGCTATTTTTTGTTCTTTTTTCCCTTTGCTTTATAAGTGTAGAAGCAATTGTGCTGCCAGTGCATTAATTTTTTTTAGTAACTTCTGATCAAAATGAATCTAAAGCAGTCTTTATGGGTAGTTAACCTATTATTTGTCAGATGTTCCGAAGGGAGTTTCACATTCATCTACCTCTTTTTCAAAGAGCAGTGCTGTCACTCCGCCTTTCTTTTTGCCAAATTTTATAACCATTTTACCTACTATTTAAATAGTGAACTATAATATAGAAAGCCAAAATCAGTAAATTGACTTTACAGGGCAAAGACTTGGACTTAGCAGGCTGGGGGTTTTGCTTTCCCTTGGAATGTGTGACTCAACATAGAGTTTGGTGAGTCACCTTCGTTGTTTTACAAAACGCTCTTTAAATTTGTAGGCATTTTTTTTCCCCAAGGGGGCAGCCTTATTTGGCACCCTATCTGTCTCTGAACAGACTGCATGGATCGAAAGGGAAGGGGTGGGAAGAGGTGGGGGTTGGTGGTTAGATGGATCTTCCTTTTTTGCATGGGTACAAAACAAGAGAAGAAACCTTCCAGCATAGTGATTCTCTGGGATTCTGAAGTCAGCATTTGATTAGACTGCTTTGCAGAACGATAAAAGCTTGCTCAGTATCAGCCCTGTACAGCTTTAGGTCAACGTATGAGCTGTGGAACAATGGGATGGAACTGCTGATACTGGGGATTATTGCTGCTTGTCACACTTCAAGAGTCAGATACTTTAACTTTTTCCGGAGGGAATTCATGGGGTGGGGGGTAGATAATGGACTGAGCTTAAAAGTCTTTTTTTTTTTTAAAAGATTCTTGCCAAGGAGATCATATTGTAGGAGAGTGTAGCTGCAACAACAACAACAACAACAACAATAATATTGACTGTGGCAAAAGAAAGCAAAGATAGTACCAATAGTAATAGGCGCCTTAGGTGCAATCCCAAATCATTTGGATCACCACTTGAACACCATCGGCATTGACAAAAACATCAGTCAATTGCAAAAGGCAGCTTTACTTGGAACAGCTTATATCCTGTGATGATACCTCAAACATCATTAAATAACATCTGCCTATCCCAGGTCCTTGGGAAGGACTAGATAGGTGGATAAAAATGCCAAATCCAGTCTAAACATCTGGCCAACTGTGTGACCACTTTTATCCACCTATCAAGTCCTTCCCAAGAACCTGGGATAGGCAGATGTTCTTTAATGATGTTAAAGGTAGTAGTAGTAGTAAATAGACCAACATTACCCTAGACATCCTGTTTAGTAAAATCCTGTTCTTACTTACCATTATTCACAGCTCATGAAGTAGAAACGTGGAACATTTCTACCTGGAAGTTGGGGAATGAAATAGTTTTACTTTCTCTTTTACCCATCAATATCAAATTAGAATGACCTGCGGATTTTCTCTTGCACTCAGTTAATCAAAATTCGAACTATCTCGCTATTCTAACTTGATCCTTGATTTGTTTGGGTTTGCGATTCTGATTCTGTTTCTTTACCTTCTTTAAAATAAACTTATTTTTGACATAGTTTGCTTGTTCAAGTTAGCATGCCCTTTTCAGAGCAGTCAAGGATAACTCAATGGGCTTTTTCTGTAAATAGCACTACTATTATAACATTGTTGAGTAATTGTATTTTGTTAAACCTGTCCCTTTACTATAGTTACTTATGCTGTCTTATATTCAGATGGAAAAGAAAACTCTCTTCCTCAACCCGCGGTTTCCAATTTTAGCTGTCCAGCTGTTAGTCACAACTTACCTTGCTTGTGCCTCTGAATCATCTGCAGATCCAAGATTGAGAATTCTACCTTAAACTATCATCAAAAGTTCTTGCAGTGCTGAATTTGGTGCTCCAACAAGAATGATGTTAAAACAAGGACCACTGAGAAACAAATTATTATTGGATGTTCATGAAGGTATGAAATTGGAAATAGACGTGGGATGGAAGAAGGGAAATAAAAGCTCTCGCTAAAGAAGAATCCCAGTGAGGACTGGACACTAAACTATGGATCATGTAATGTTCTCTAATTAGCACAGTTGGTTTTATAACATTTTGTAAAGATTTTACATTATTACCAAAAATAAATTTTCTATCAACTTCTGTTTTATAGTTTTTCAACAAGTGTCCAGAAAAAAATGTAAGTGTTATGCTTAATATTAGCTTGCTTCAGAATGTCATAAGAATTTGTGGCTCTAGAGACAAGATTGTACTGGAAAAACAGTATAAGTCAATGTTTCTCAACCCTGGCAATTTGAAGATGTGTGGACTTCAACTTCCTCATGCTGGCTGGGGAATTGTGGGAGTTGAAGACCACACATCTTCAAGTTGCCAAGGTTGAGAAACAGTGGTATAAGTCAATATGAGAATGCTTCCTGCAGAGTTCCTAGCTCAATGCGGGGAATATGGGCTATTGGCAATACAGTCAATTTATGCAAGGAGAATGGGGATTAGCCCAACCTCCATTGCCCCACCCATTTACTTGCATTTAGGTATAACGCTGGATAATGCCAAGGGCCATTTGACATACAGTTTTATGCACAAGAGTAATGACAGGAACTGAAAACACGTTGGAGACTAAACAGGGCCAAAAAACTCTATTGCATCTCTGGTGTATGAAATGACATGTTGAGAAGTCTGCAGGCAAGCAAACCATGTTCTGTTCAATGATCCACTTCTTTCAACATAAAATACTGTGATTTGGGAAAATGTATGACTTTGCAACAGAAGTGTTTGCCTTAAGGACTTCTGTACCATATCCCCTTAACCAGAGCCAGTTTGGTGTAGTGGTTAAAGCACCAGGCTAGAAACCAGGAATTCTAGTCCCACCTTAGCCATGAAGCTAGCAGGGTGACTTTGGGCCAGTCACTCTCTTTCAGCCCTGGGAAGAAGCAGGCAAGGGCAAACCACTTCTGAAATCTTGCCAAGAAAACTGCAGGGACTAGTGCAGGCAGTTGCCAGGAGTCAAAAACTGACTTGAAGGCACAAAAACAAAACATCCTAAATTAAATGAATTGGTGCAACCTCTTCTCATGAATACAGCTATTTAACTGGTTTTAAGGTTGGGCTAACTCAGTGAGCTTCCATGGCTGAGGATAGCCCACACTCTGAATCTCCAATCCTCACCAACACCTCTCTAACTCCCCACTCCCATCCAGCAGGCTCTTGTTCCATTGCATATCCCAAAATAATTTTCTTTGGGTTCACAGATCTTTCCAAAACGATTGGAAACCAAACCAGTTAAAAGTTTTATTTTAAGTGTATCTTCAAGAGAGAGAGAGAGAGAGATCTTTGTGTGTGTCGAACTGTCAATTTAAAAATGTTCAGAAAACTCGACAGAATAACATTGGAACTTCTAAAAATGTGTCTGGATATATCTGAGGCCTATGCAGAATTAAAACACTGTTATTGGCTATAGCAGGAAGGCATTTAGAAGGTATTCCAGAAGTAATTGTCTCAAATTATTTATAGGAATAAATCATGAGGTGCGTGCAGTTACTTCCCCATCTATTACTGTATTTCTTTTAGATATTTAATTTATACACATATATACATGTGTGTGTGTTGCAAACTGGTATGCTGTAAGCCCAAGCTTTTGACATCATCTTGATTTACAAGAATGCCTGTGGGCTCGTAAGTATTCTCAGAAAATACAACTGGCTGGTAGCTGCAATCCAGTGCTTTTTTTAAAAATTACTGCTTAGCTGCTCAAGAAAAGTTTTAAAAAGCTTAGCTTAAAAAGAGGTAGTAGAGAGAGGGACGGCCTAAAGGGAATGATGGAGAGGGGAGCAATCTCACCAGTTTGCCCTCAGGGAAGAGGTTTTTTTGTGACTGTTCCATCACATATTCTCAAAATTCCAAATGTCTCTACCAGCATTTCTCCTTATCTAGGCAAAAGATACTCTCAAAAGAAATATAACTATCACACATCCCACCTGTGTTTACATTGTATTGGTTTCAGAGGGGCTTACTCTGTGAGAAAACAGGGAATAAGTATTTGAATGCTTATCTCAGAAGAGACATTTCAGCCCAGCTGCCAAGCAATGTGAGAAAAAGCATTTGAGAGAGACTCCACCTTAATTAACAGACTAGAGCTGAGGCTGAGAAATTTCTCTTACAGTTTTCAAGAATCTGTATTTACCCAGCCTAGCATCAAGGACGCCTTCATTCTTGTTTCCTTGCTATTACCAGTTACATGGGGCTTGAGGCTCTCATGTAATTGTGTTGCAGGAATAATACCAGAGTAGTCCCATCTCCCCAGACCACACAGCTTTCCTCTTTTTCACTGCCAGCTCCAGAGAGTGCTTCAGGATCTGTCTCTGATTTTACATAGCATAAGAACATAAGCAGTGTCCTGCTGGATCAGACCCTGGGCCATCAAGTCCAGCAGACTATTCTCACAGTGGCCAAAGACTGCACAAGGAAGCCCACTAGTCTCCCAGCAGATGGCCTTCAGAGGGAATCCCACTCCCATCAAGACTAATAGCCATTGATTCCCATGGCCTCCATGAATTGGTCCAACCCTTTTTTGAAGCTAGCCAGGCTGGTTGCTGGGACATCTCCTGTAGCAAATTTCAAAGTCTAATTACATGTTGTGTAAAAAAAATCCTTTTTTTCCTTTTTTTGTCTATCCTGATTCTTCCAGGATTCAATTTCATTGGGCAATTTCTGGTTCTAGTAT